GGCGGGGGAGCATACCCTGCAGTTTAATGACTCTGTGAGTATGTTAACATGTGCATGAACAAGGTTAAACATTTTTCATCTGATGATTGCCCTGCTGGGCTGTGTTCTCACTGCTTTTTATTTGCTGAACTCATTATTCAGTGGAGCACTAAGACTTTGGCTATGATATAAATTTAAAAATATAATCTCAAAAATAATACATAAATGGGGCTGGCGCTGTGGCATAGTGGGTAAAGCCACTGCCTGTAGTGCCAGCATTCCTTATGGGTGCCAGTTCAAGTCCTGGCTGCTCCACTTCCAATCCAGCTCTCTGCTATGGCCTGGGAAAGCAGTAGAAGGTGACCCAAGTGCTTGGGCCCCTACACCTGCATGGGAGACCTAGAAGAAGCTCCTGGCTCCTGGCCAGCTCTCTGCTGTGGCCAGGGAGTACAGTGGAGGATGGCCCAAGTGCTTGGGCCCCTGCACCTGCATAGGAGACCAGGAAGAAGATCCTGGCTCCTGACTTCAGATTGGGTCAGCTTTGGCCATTGCAGCCATCTGGGGAGTGAACCAGCAAATGAAAGACCCCCCCCCCCCCATTTCCTCTCTGTAACTCTGCCTTTCAAATCAATCAATAAATCTTTTTTTAAACTACACAATATATTAAATTGAAAATAAAAATTTCTGGGAGCCGGTGCTGTGGTATACTAGGCTAAGCCTCTGCCTGCGGTGCCAGCAACCCATATGGACACTGGCTGCTCCTCTTCTCATCCAGCTCCCTGCTAATGTGCCTGGGAAAGCAGTGGAAGATGGTCCAAGTGCTTGGGACCCTGCCACCCACATGGGAGACCCAGAAGAAGTTCCTGGCTCCAGGCTTCAGCCTGGCCCAACTCCAGCTGTTGTGGCCATTTGGAGAGTGACCCAGCATATGGAAGACCTTCTGTCTCTTCCTCTCTCTACGACTTGGCCTCTCAAATAAATAAATACATAAAATCTTTAAAAAAGAAAAGAAAAGTTCCTGGCTCTGTTCCTTCAGGACCCCCTCCATATGTGGCCCAGATCCACCTTGCTTTGCCTCGCAGGCAAGAGGGCCCAGGATGCCCCCTCCTCACCTCCTGGCCCACCTTGTCTCTGCTCCGCCCCCAGGAGCCATCTCCAGCCTGGCTCTATGGGTGACCCCTAGCCTACTCCCCTCGGATCTCCCTCTGGGGTCCACTCCTGGGGGCCTTCCAGCGTCCCCTTCCTGGTACCATGGGCTCCTCCTCGGTCCTTCCCAGCGTCTCTCCCTGGCAGGACCCATCTTCCTGCTGCTGCCTGCCTTTCAGCTCTGTGTCCCCACAGTGTTCTTGGCCACTTCTTGCCCCCTCCACTGGCCCTACCGATTCCCTCTGGTCCTTGCTCGTGACTCTAGCTCTCACGGCATAAACAGATGACCCCACGTCTTCCCCTCACAGGCACACACCCGAGGGAGCCTGCGTCCCCTCTCAGAGTGCCCGGGTTCTGTCCCTGGCTCCAGCTCCTCATTCCAGCTTCCTGGGAGGCAACAATGATGGCCTAAGGGTTGGGTTCCTGCACCCTGTACATACTATTCTTTTTTTTTTTTTTTTGACAGGCAGAGTGGACAGTGAGAGAGAGAGACAGAGAGAAAGGTCTTCCTTTGCCATTGGTTCACCCTCCAATGGCCGCCGCGGCTGGTGCACTGCGGCCAGCGCACCGCGCTGATCCAATGGCAGGAGCCAGGAGCCAGGTGCTTTTCCTGGTCTCCCATGGGGTGCAGGGCCCAAGTACTTGGGCCATCCTCCACTGCACTCCCTGGTGACAGCATACAGCTGTACTGGAAGATGGGGAACCGGGACAAATTCAGGCGCCCCTACCGAAACTAGAACCGGTCGTGGCATCATTGCTGTGCTGATGATTATGCTAACGCCTCGCGCTGTCCGGGACGTGAGTCTGGGCACTCAGCCGATGCACCGCCTGTCCACCTGCCAGTCGCTCTGCGGGAGAAACACACGGCTGTGGGGCTCAGCCTCAGCCCCTGCTGGGGGGTGCACAGGAAGCAGAGAATCAGTATCTGGTCGGCCGGCCCCCCCACCGGCCCCAGAATCCCAGACTCGGGTCACACGCCCCTCCCCCCAAAAATCACCCTCATTCTGGAGCCTCCTGTCCCGGCAGAGCCCCGCGGATAAGGGTTTCACAGTTAAGGATGGGAGCCCTCTAGGCTCCCGCATGAACAGCTAAAACAGTGGCTGAGGCGAGGCTGCAGTACTTCCCCAAACACTGGGAGCTGGGTGTGTATTTGGTGCAGCCATTAAGATTCAGTTAAGACACCCGGGTCCCAAATCAGGGAGCCCAGGTTCAATTCCCTGCTCCAGCTCCGGCTCCGGCTCCTGCTTCCTGCTGATGCAGACCCGCAAGGCAGCAATGAAGGCGCAAGTGCTTGGGTCCCTGCCACCCACCTGGGAGATCTGGACTGAGTTCTGGGCTCCTGGGTTGGATCAGAGCCCTGCTCTGGCCACAGTGGGCATGTGGGGAGTGAACCAGCAGATGGGAGCTCTATGCTTCTGTGTCTCTGTCTCTCAAACACACAGAACCCAGGAAGATCGGGATCTATCACGCATCCGTCTTTGGTCACTCAGAACCACAGGCTGGTGTGTGGGAGGGGACTGCTTCAGAAGCAAGCCTCAGACAGGGACGGGGTCGGGAGGGGCTGTTCCCAGCTCCTCTTTTGTGCCCAGCCCTGCGCTAAGGGCTCAGGTTCAAGGTCTCCAGACGACTCTTTGAGGAAAGCAAAGTCTCCACCCACAGCCGCGCGGGGGCGAGCTAGCCGGGACTGATACCCACATCTGTCCCACATAACAACATCACACTAACATGGTACTGAGCCCAGGCACACATGTCGCAGTGTCACGGGCTGGGGGAGACCCTACCACACACTCCCAGGTGTTTGCTGCTGAGACTGAAGAAGTCACAGAGCTCACCTCTGCTAGGAAGCCCTCCCAGAGGCACTCACAGTGCAAGGCGGTGGTGATGGCAGGGATGACCCCTCGACCTCCCCGGCTACCCTGCCTTCGGAGCCCATCCCCAGCCCACTCCCCTGCTCTGCCCTGCTTGATTCTGACCACCTGTGCTCCAAACTCTCCCCCTCCTGGCTCTGGGGCCGCCCTCTCAGACCCCGGAGCCTCTGGAGCTCGTGTAAGGAACACATGACACTGGGCTGGCAGGAAGCTGCCGACACGGGTGTGCCTCACACAAACCACAGCCCCCTCCCCTCCTCGCCCCACCCCTAGGCCAGCAGCTGGGTGTGGGCGTTCCCCCCCAGGGGAGGGGGTTGGGTCCTCCCATGGCAGCAGTGGGGGAAGGGGTTTGTCCAAGAATGAGGGGGAGCCTTTTCCCATCAGCCATAGCAGCTTTAGTGTGCAAGCTGGATCTCCCACCCCCACCCCCCAGCATCCCCTTTAGGAAGGGCTGGGAGTGGGAGACCCTCCCAAGTCAGCACTTTAAAAAGGGAAGGGTGGGCGGTGGCATTGGCACAGAGTGCTCGGGCTGCCTTTGTCCCACATCAAGAGGCTTGGGTTCAAGTCCCAGCTCTGGCTGCTGAGGCCAGCTCCCTGCTACAGCACACTTGGGGGGCAGCGGGTGATGGCTCAAGTGCTTGGGCCCCCCCTCCACTCACAAGGGACACCCACACTGAGCCCCTGGCTCCTGCCTCAGCCTGACCCAGCTCTGGCTGTTGCAGGCATTTAAAGAGCAAACCGCCGGCGCCGCGGCTCACTAGGCTAATCCTCCGCCTTGCGGTGCCGGCACACCGGGTTCTAGTCCCAGTCGGGGCGCCAGATTCTGTCCCGGTTGCCCTTCTTCCAGGCCAGCTCTCTGCTGTGGCCAGGGAGTGCAGTGGAGGATGGCCCAAGTACTTGGGCCCTGAACCCCATAGGAGACCAGG